CACGAATGAACCGAGGCCGCCTCTCTTGCAGGCCCTGCTGAGTTACTACTGCCAAGAAGGCTACTTCCACCACGTCCGGGCTGCGGCCGATGAGGCACTGGGGCGGCTGGGCAGCGATCCGGTGTTCCTTTTTTACCGGGCCTACGGCGCCCTGAGGGCAGGTAATGCGGGGCTGGGGAGCTGCTCGTTGTGTCCTGTCCCTCCGCCGCCTTCCCAAAATGCTGGTCTTTCTTGCGCTACAAAATTCAGTCTTTAGTCTATTACACAGAAAAAAAGTAATGTTATGGAGTCTGAATGTTTTCCATGTTGAGATTACTGGTGTTTTGTGAACTATCACCATGCCCCGAGTTTGAATGAAACTGATCTAACCACATAGTGCTGAAATGAGAAATTAGTATCTTTTTTTTCTTTTTTTTTTTTTTTTTAAATGATTATATGAACATGTGTTAGCTAAATGGGTTCCTTGGGGGGAATTTGAGCCCTGCCCAAATGCCCATTGCATTGTATCAGAAAGATAAATTTGCTTGTTCCAGCTAATATCTCTTCCTTTCAATGCAGCTGTATCTAACCTTGTATCTATCTGCCTCAGAGGAGCTGGCGGCTAATACCTATTGGGAGGATCTTTGTGTACATTAAACCGTCTTGAGAAGCTAAATTATTTAGCTAAATCCATATTTCAAGGATGCCCCAGAATACTAACGAGTAACCCGAAGTTGGGGAGGGCTGTGGCAGGGGGCTAGGAAGGATTCAAAAGATTTTGAGGTGGTGTATCTGTTCCCAAACTCCTGACTTTGTTTGTTTGTTTTACAATCATACATTCCTCTTTTTCAAGATACTGTCTTTTCTGTTAATGTTCAAAAGATTCACAAAAACAAGGCAGAAATCCTAGCTATATAAAGGAACAAAAAGAGCTGCTCAGCACACTGTATAAAACAAATAGTAATGATGATTTTCATCTTTGTGGCAGTTGGCAGAACTAGCACATAACTCCTTTCAAGTTCTCTGCATTGAGATGCTTTTTTGTTGCTTGTGTCTGTTTGAAAGACTTACACAAACAAGTGAAAATGGATGTGTGAATAAGTTATGAAGAAAGTGTTATCAAAAACACAAAAGAAAAAATAGAAGGAAAATTTAAGTCAGACTGACATTTGATGTTGATGCGCTCTGTGGTAAAAATATTATAGCCTGTTCTGTGCTTGTTTTCACTAGGTGACATCCAAGAGGGTATTCGACAGTTGGAGTCTATTAAAAACAAACAGGAGGTGTCACTTTGTACAATGATGGCTCTGATTTATGCCCATAAAAAGAGCCCTAATCCAGGTATGCTCATTAAGACAATACTACTTCATGTTTTAAACAGCTGTGTGTGAAGATCTGAGAGTTGTAGATGGATTCTGCCTATATTAAAAAGGTATACTCCAGCTTTATATTTGACATAGTATCTAGTACTGAATTGAGTGATGCTTATCAAGATTGTAAACAAAAATACCAAAACACAAAACTGTGAAGAGTCAGTCTGAATGTTAAAATAAAACACTAAAAATAAAATCTGACTTATCTACCATGATGAAAAATCTTTTGTGGAAAAAAAAAAAGAATCAAGCTTCTTGTGATTGTTGCTCACTCTTGTCTGATGTCTGTACTTTTGAGCAGAACTGCAATTTAGGAATTTATTAAAGCCACGCCATTTCTGTCTTTCAAGTTACTCTGACCTTGTAAATGGTAAAACGAATTTTGTGAACATTGGTATTCCTTTCTCCAATCTAAAAACTGGGGTTATTTTGCTGAGAATTATGTTCTCAAAACCACAGTTGGTTTATCAGGTAAACTGAGTTGTCGTTAAACTTTTACCCTGGTATCTTCCTGACTGTGCAGATTAGTAACTGTTACTGACAGTTGTGTTAAGCAGCTTGATTTGAAACAGCTCTGACTTACTACATGACTCTTATTTGAGTCCCTGAGGATTAACACTGTAGGGCAGCAAATTTATCATGTATTTCAAGACTGTCTGTGAAAGTCATGGCAGTAAGAGTCAGATATTTGATTTTAATGGCTCCTAAAAAAGGACCAGAAATGAATATGAGTAAAAGAAAATATTTGGCAGTAAGTCCCACACACCAAACGAAATTTCTCTGTAGAATTAACCTGATGAGAGGAACTGACAATAACCATGAGGATATAAGAAAATGAGCGTTAGCATTAAGAAACATCGCACATGTTCCAGGGGTTCTCAAGCTGAATTGTCTTGTGTTCAGCATTTTAGGGCTGCTCTACAGTTAACTGTTTACTTGATTGGCAGACGCTGGTATAAATGTGAACCTTATTGTCAAGTTTCCATTTATCAGGCAGAAGTCTCGGCTACAAATCTAAGGTTTAACAAATAACAGGGTTCTTGCACAAATGTCTATGTTGATGGGAACCCTCTTCTGTCTTTTATGTCTGTACCTGATTAATATTTTTAATTGGGAGGGATTGCCCATGTGTTTATCAATATATAATACAGAAAACAATGTTTGCTTTGGAAGCCTTTGGCTTATGTGCTGCTCTTTTGTAATATTTTGAGATGCTATCAACAAAAGCTCTGAACAAAACCTTTTCAGATCGAGATGCTCTTCTTGAGTTGGATGTAAAAATGAAGGAGCAACGTAAAACAGCAGGACAGCAGGCTCTGTACTTTGCTGGCTTGTTTTTGTGGCATCTTGGTCGTGAGGACAAAGCCCGTGAATATGTTGACAGAATGATCAAAGTATCTGGTGGTGGTAAAGAGGTAACTTTTTTTTTTCCTATGTAAAACAGTAATAGAACCGTGTATACTGTGAAGCTAGACTTATTGCACCAATACTATTTGGAGGTTTCCTTTAACTGTTTTGTGTTCTAATACTTTTTTTCTTAATGTCATCAATTCATTTGACAGGGCCGAGTAGAATTCCCATAATGATTTTTTTGTCTGCTAAGTATTGTTATTTTCACTTAATAAATGAGAGGTCTGCATTGACCAATGGAAATAATACATAGTTATGCCAATTTTTCTACTTGATACTGAGCATCATAATTCCTAGCAAAAAACTAAGCTTGATAGTCTTACTAGAGGGAGACATCTATTTTGAATCTGAAGACTCAAAAGTACCCAGAGGGTTGGGGATTTAAATTTTCTGTAATTGCTAAAGGTAAAGTTTGCCTAGGGTTTTACTGAATGTCATTTATTTTAAAATCTGTGTAAGTATTGTGTGTAGCAATGTCTTACGCATTTAAAGATTAAAGATTCTAGTGAATTTTGATGTCTGTATATAAAGAGATTTGTGAAAACTTACTGTGGTTTTTTTTTTTAAAGGAGGTAGCAGCTTCAATTCAAGGAGAGAAAAAAAAAATTACTTTTTTTTGTAGTCAGACATCTTCAAGGCAGAGCTGTTAGAATTGAATGCATAACTGTTCTCGTATGACACTAGTATTGAACACAAATGTTGTTTCTGAAGTGTTCCTCTGTGTGGTTCAGTACATTGCTCAGTTTGTAATCTACAGTTTTATAGTCTATATAATATTATATGAGTCGGAAATCTGCAACTATTCTAAACATTAATTTCAGAAGTTACATTATGAATTTAATGGCTTTGCTTTTGAACTATCACTGGTTTTTAATTTAAATTGGTAGTTATTTTTAATTACTGGCTAATTTTTACTAATGAAGAAATAACTAAGGACATCACAAAGCATTAATATGTTAATTTCGAAAAAGACTAAGGGTATGCCAGTTTGGTAAAATAGCAGTATTTATGACTTTGCTTATTGAAACCATAGTAGTTGTTTTTTGTTTGCTTGGTTTTATTTTTAAGAAACACTGTTCGGGAATGTTGCTTAGTACGAAGTATTTCCAGCTGAGTATTTAATGGATTTGAAATATGAGGGACATGCATATACATAAAAATGTACATTAGTATTTAAATACATGGAAAACAAATAGTGTTGCTTTTTTCTAGGTTCACTTATACTTATCCCTTTTCCTAGTTTGACAATACAAAGTTATGTGTACTTTGATTTTTTTTGGGAGGTTGTTAGGGGTGCTTAAGCTAGTGAAATTGATAACATACTTTATGTAGTCCTTATATAGAAATAAAATACCAGCCAGTTTCTGTTGCATAACAAGTCATGACCCTGATTGTTAGCAATTACAAAATATGGCTCTTCTACTAATCTTTGGGTTTTAAATACGTGACTCACTCCTTCAATTTTATGTTACAAAAGAGCTAGTGATATTTTATAGTTTTGAATTTTTGTTTTCATGACAATTATACTTTGGTTAAATAATCCAGCACTTCAAAATAGATTTGATTTACTTAAGTTTATAATTAAATGTCTAGAACACATAAGAAAAATATAATTCATTAATTGTAAGTAATAATTCCTTCAATGAAAAGATGTATTTCACCTCTTTAAAGTTCTAAGTACTATATTTTTTTTGTAATACTGGTGAGGATTTGGGAAATGTCAGATCTTTGGCCTTTGCCTGCAGGTTTTTCTTTTTGATCAGACAGTAGAAGAAAAAGAAAGTTCCTTTCCTTTTTCAGCACCCCATATGTTTCTCAGTGTCTCATATAAACAAAATGTTAAGAAAACACTCTGCAGAAATGTTTGCAGCAAATATTCTTACTGTCTTATGTGGTCACTTCTACAAGGTTTTGTTCTGTCTGCTGAGCGTGGTAAGACCATTGTCCTGGAAGTAAATATACTGTTTGATTAATCTAATGATGGAATGAATTACTGATATTTTAGGTTATGCTGTAGACTGGTTATAATTTCAAATATATATTTTAAGTAGTTAAAAATAGATACTTTAAGTCTTTATTTTATTATTAGGTTATTTCTGCTTACTGTATCTAGTATACTTTCTTACTGTCTAGTTAGTGAAGAATTCCAATTTATATTTTGTTTGTAGGGATTGATTTTGAAAGCATGGCTTGATCTCACCTGTGGGAAAGAAACTCACATTAAAAAAGCCGTGAAATACTTTGATGAAGCACTGGAGGAAGGCAATGATGTTTTTGCTCTACTTGGTAAAGTAAGTTTACTTCATGATTTTAACGCTTCCTAAATGTTATATTAGTCTTGTAGAGTGATTAGAGAGATGCTGGAAATAGTTGTCTATAAGTGAGCTTGTTGAAGGAATAGAAATACAGCTCAGTCATACTTTTTTGTTCAGAGTAAAAGACTAGATTTTAGCAGAAATTAAGTTTGAATTGATTTTTGAAATTGTTAAAGGAATATAGAACAGTTGTCACTGACACATTGATTACTAGCACAATAACAATATATTGACACTTCTGTTTCCTGTGGTAGACAGCCCATTTTAAATAGTTTGTAGTTAAAATTAATGAGTAGCCAAGGTTCGTTAGACTTCTCACTTTCTTTGTAGATTAAGACAAAGGGGCATGCCTGGGTTACAGTAATGGTACGCTGTGTCTGTTACCATATGCATAATTATGAATTTCTGGTGTGTTCTTGTATTATTACATTTCTCTAGTATAAAACATTGCTGCAGTGGAATATTGCTTCACTAAATACAATTTCCACCTTTTTGATTTTTTTTTTTGATGAGCTGGTAACTATTTCTTCCCACACATCTGTATTTCTTTTAAGTATGATAAAATATTATGTGCTTTTTTCTTTTTGTTTCTTGGAATAAAATCAGTTACCAGATGATACTGTAGGGTCCATTAGACACCAACGTAAAAAAGTAAGTTATAGGTTAAATACGGTCAGTCTAAATGTATATTGAGGTTATGATTTTACTATATACGCAAGAAAAACTCTTTTTATTCATGTATTTATATGTAAGAAATGAGGTTTCAAATCACTTGAAAATGTAAAGGTACGTGTGATCTCTTCCTTTTTGCGTGGGACACCTATCCATATTACAGAATTGCTGTGTGCCATGACAAAAAAAGTAGTAGCTAAACACTCGTGTGATCATCTATGAACATTGTTAACGCTCTTTTTTAGTTGTCCTTAGTCTGTTTCAAGCATTCATTTTGATGATATTTCATTAAGGGGGTGGCATGAATTGTTTTCTTTATGCGTTTTTCTGTTTCAGAGTATACTACTTGTTTATATCGTAAACATTGTTACTCATTAATATAACATTTGTTTAATATTCTAAAGCTAACTGCAGAAAAAAATTGTTCAATGAAAATAAGAAGGCTGAAATTTGGGAGAGTGTGCCCAACGGTATTTGGTTAGGCATGTGTGCTTGGCTGTGTGTGGACTGTTAAGCTCAATTACCAGTATATCAGAAATTCAGATACTGCAGTTAGATTTTAGACAGACAGCTATCTTGCTATGGCTTAAAAAATTAACTCTTAGAAACTACTGTGTTTGCACCATTTCTGTCTCAAAAATGTGAAACAAAATGACGTGCACACAGTCACCTGGAATATGGTAAGTAAAAAAAATGGGCTTAAAAAAATGTTTGTGGGTTGTGTTCAATATCCTAAAATTATGAGATGCTTTATACAAAGTTATTTGAAACCTAATAAAACAATTTTGCTCTTCAGGTACATCTCTCTGCCTTTTTCTTGCTTGTAACTGCCTAGTAACTTATAAATGCTGCAATTACTCTTGTTATAGAGTGCTTACCATGCACCAGGTTTTACATGTCATCTTTTGCTATTTGGTTGTTGCAGTATCTCTGGTTGTGGTTGATGCTGAAGTAAAACTATTACTTAAAGATTTTTATCTCACTAGCGATTTTTCCTGGTTTCTGTATGAAAGAACTTCTAAATCTTCTCACCTATGTGAGTGTATAGGCTTTTGATGTGACTTGTGTTTTCCTTCCATTAGGCACAGTATTTTGAGGTCCGACAGAATTATTCAGGAGCTTTGGAAACTGTGAACCAGATAATTGCAAACTTCCCAAACTTCATTCCTGTTTTCAAAAAGAAAATGAAGCTGCAACTAGCCTTGCAGGACTGGGAGCAGGCAATTGAAACAGCACATAGGTTGAGTATGAAGTAACACATCACTAATTGTGTTCTTGCCGTGTTTACACCCTAAGTATGCTTTGAAACAAAAGTAGATAGGTTTCCATTCATTTTTAATGAATTTGAATTTGTTAAATCGGGGGGGGGGGGGGAATAAATAAATTAAAATAACTAAAAAGTTTTATTAGAACCCAGCCTTGCCATCAATACATGAATCCATTTTGGATGGAAGCAGACCGCTTTTGAGATAGGCGTGAAGTAACAGAGCTGTGCTTTCGATTCAGAGCTATGACTTGAAGTGACTGTGCAGTACAAGTTATTTTATTCCCCTTTTAGGATAAAACAGATAATTGAGCAAAGGTTTTGTTTTGCTTTCTTTACATTCAGCTTTTGTTTGGCTTTAGACTATTGCAGAAAGATGCCCTCAATTTAGAAGCCATAAGAATGGAGGCCCTGCATTATCTGTGCAGGGAAGGAAATATATCTGAGGTGAGTCTTTTTATAAGCAGACTGTTGAGCATAACACAGCTTTTGTAGGGATTAGCTGCCACATGCAATATCTTCTTTATGTATTCTCCTCATATAGTTTGTCTGGTCCTGTGCTACAGGACTTATCTGCAGGAAGAGGTACATTCACCTGTTCTGACTCAAATGGCTGCTGTAGCTTATTGTTGGGGTGTTTTCTGGATGCCAAGGGAAACATAATTTTTTACCTCCGTCTTTCCAGAGAATCAAGCCAAACAGAAATCTCCTCTGGACAGTTAATTGAATGATGTTGATTTGAATCATCAAAGCAATCTTTTCTTGTTTAAATGCTCTTTTGATAAATTCATAACTTATCATAAGCCTTCCATTAATTGTAAGTATTTTATTACTAGAAATAAGGGAAATAATGAGGTCTTGTAGTGATCGATTTTGGAAAGGGTGTCGTAGTCACTTAACAGCAGTCTGCAGTGTTAGATTGTGTAACCTGTGCTTTGTTCACCCTTCTTTGACAATTACTGGTGGGTTTTTTTTTGCTCTAAGAATTCTCTTTCACTTTTCCTTCTACTCCCAAGATCCTTTTCTGCACAGGGATATATGCAGTATTTTGTATTTATGGTGCTTGTGTCATTTTTCAGGAAATTTTAAAATACATTATCTAAATTGTCATGAAAAATCATAAAATATTTTTAAATATCTCTTTCTCATTATACAAAAATGCTGGTATAATTGAAGTGGAGATTTAGCAAAAAAAAAGTGGTTTTGGTGTGTTGTAGGTTTTTTGAAGTTCTAGAGGAAAAGGTATTTTAGATTGCTTAACACATTTTTAGTTATTGCAAAGAACTTTTTAGTCATTAGTGTATTTGTAATCAAATTTAAGTCTTACTTATGCACAGTCATAGGAAATATAGAGAAACAATAATAATTGCAGACTCCAGTTCAGTAAAGTCGTGCAGGAATGGAACTTGCTGGACATAGTAGGGTGTAAACAAAAGATTTTGGAATAAAATGTCACATGACTAAGATTTATGTCTAGGAAAAAAATTAAAAACCTGACGGGATTTAAATATGATTCAGGTGTCTATACCTAAAATCGTATTAAAAAAACCTATGTACCTTATTATTGTAAACCCAGAAATGTCTGAAGTACCTTAAGTGGTTTAACAAATCGTGAAAGTGCTTTGGTTTTGAACATGTGTGTCTGTATCATACTGAAACCTGAACAAGATTCACAGGTTGGATTCCTCAGACTATCTTACTTTATGGGAGTCTTCTGTTATATCAGATTTGGATCGGGTCTTTCACTTTTTTAGAGCATATTTAGAGGACATGTGATCTTCTTTATTGTCACTTTACTATTCCAAAGTATTTTTCTAGGAATTCCAAAATAAATCTAACTCCAAGCCCTGAAACTCCTGAGTTTAAATTTCAAGATGTTATTGCATAGTAAAGTATGTGACTAGTTTTTAGTGAAAACTGTTTAATTGTCCTAATCTGTTCATTCTTTCTATTACTTATTATATTACTCCTTTTTCTCCAAGGCTTCAGCAAGACTGGGAGACTTAATCAAAGCCCTGGACAGATTAGAACCACGTAATTCGCAGCTCTTCTGTAAAATGGCTTTAGCTTTCAGTAGAACAGTGAGTATACTTTTTTCTTAAGCAGCGTGTAGCTAGCTATATATCCTGGGTTTTGTTTTATTTTTGGGTAGGCAGATGTTAAATGTCTACTAAAAAGTAGATTGCAGACAATTGAAATAGATTACTTTGTGTAGCCTGTGGTAACTACATTTTTAAAGTTTTACGTTCAGTATGGATCACAATACTTAAGCCATCTCATTCCAAAAATGTTCTTACTACTTGCTTTTAAATGAGGAACAGCTTTCTGCAGAAAAGATGCTCAATGTCCACCAGCCATATTCTCAATGTAGAACAGTGATGAGGTTAGTCACGTAGCCTTGAAACTGAAGGTTTCTTTAATCTTTTGTTTATCAGAACCGTTTTAAGGAAGCATTCAAAGCAACTATCAGCTATTACTTGTTGTATGGTATTGTATATTTATGTTTGAATCCAGCACACTTTAATGTCACAATTTCTATAGAATTACTATAGATTATATTAGTCTTGCATGGGATGTTACTGTCTCAACTCCTACAGCAATATTCAGTGTGTTTTTCTAAGTGAATCTGAAAAATAAGAACTTAAGATTTAAAGATTATTCTTACCATTAGTGTGGCCGGAACCAGATAATCCTTCAACATACACAAACCTTAGTTGAAAGAGCATCTGATTTGGCATCGGACAATGCAGAATTTGCTACTGAACTTGGCTACCAAATGATTTTACAAGGGAAAGTGAAAGAAGCTTTAAAATGGTACAAGACTGCTATGACACTTGATGAAACAAGTGTTTCTGCACTAACTGGTAAGGTCTTACACTTTCTTTTGGTTTTTATGGTCTTAAGACAGACGATGCTTTTTTCATCAAGTTTTCTTACTACTACTACTAGAAAAAATCTACAACTATTAGAACAGGTGCATTGGGCAGTACTTTCTGATTCATGTTATGCTGTCTTCCTTGTAGCAACAGTTTCTCCTCACTGGATATGTCTTTTGGTCTTCCTTTTGAAAAGTGAAACTTTTCTCTTTTAAATTAGAACTCTCAAAATAATGGTAAGGACAGAGATGTGACTGTATGTATTTATTTATTTAAATTTCTGTAGTGCCTAAGAATTAGAGAACTCTTAGGCAGTACAAAAATACAAAAATCAATGGCGGTTGATAGAACAAGCTGTCCATGGCTACATACGTGTCTAAATTAGATTGAAAAACATAATGAAGTCAAAACCTCTGATATTTTTCATGTACATGTTACATTCTTTGAAAAAAGAAAAAAAAATTACTTTTGGTAAAAGTCCAATTGCTGTAAACAAAATGGAGAGTAGATATGGCATACTTGCTTCACAGATTTTTCCCTTGCTTTTTTCCTCTTTGACTATGCCGTTGCCTTAAGCAGTACGAAAAATTTAGAGGGTAGGAGTGGTTTCTGTGTGTTTGGGGGGCTGTGTGGGTGATTTTAATTTCATTTTGCTTGTTGTACTTGTTCTGAATTTAGAAACCAAACTTTATGGTGCTTCTACTTAGTCTAGAACCAGTTGAAGGTTTAGTGTTTTAAACTGTGTAATATAAGAGATGAGATCTTTCCATGAAACTGCTTTATAGCATTGCATATGTTAACATATCAGTCATGTATCATCTATCCTAGGTATTTCTAAGTACATAATGTCTGCATTACCATAGGTCTTCATCTATTCTTTCTTCTCATAACACCACTTTATGAAGAGGTTGAGGAGATAAAACAAAGCATCTGCTTGACTAGGAAGATGAATCTGCAATAAAATGTTTAAATATGTTACAGGAATTATTCGTTGTCAGCTACTACAAGGGCAATTAGAAGATGCAGAGCAGCAGTTGGAGTTTCTTAATGAAATTCAACAGTCCATTGGGAAATCTGGCGTAAGAGATATCTTCCTTCATTAAAATACTTTGATTACAATCTGAATTGTGGTCTACTAGCTACTTCATGTTCTATATTTCAGTCACTTGAGCATTCTTAACGGACTACCTTTAAATCTGAATTTCAGTTTTTCTTTCTATCAATCTAAGTTAATGTGTTGCCTAACTTTGCAGCACAAGGTTGTTTGCTTGTAGAGCAAAAGCGTCACTGCCTTCCTGCAGTGCTTTATCTCTGAAGGTAAGTTTGAAATGTCAGGAGGGGAGGGATATTAATTATTTTCAGGATTTTGCAATCAGAAAAATTTACTTTCTTGCACAAATTAAAAGAATACATAAATATAATAAATCATCTGTGGCATTTACAGTGAACACACTAAATGCCTTACAGTATCCCTAAATATAAAGAAGAAATGGCTAACAATAATTATGTAGTATTGTGTAAGTAACAGATGAACATATCTGGAATATGGAGAATGCTTTATTTCTTTTTTTCTGTAGGAATTATCTTTCTTGCTTGCAGTCCTAGCTGTGAAAAAACAGAAGAGACAAGAAGAAGTTATTGCCTTATTGAATGATGTTCTGGACACCCACTTTTCGTCTTTACATGGTTTTCCTCTTGGTGTGGAATATTTTGAAAAACTAAACCCTGATTTTTTGCTAGAAATCGTTAGGGAATATCTTAATCTTTGTCCAGCACAGGTAAGCAGCTGCAGATCCCGTCTGTCTGAAAATGAAAATTATTCTTGGATTTCATTTTGAGATTGGTTAATCATGAAGCAAAAATATAGAAAATTTTCCCTTTTAAAATGTGAATTTATTTGAAGTAAAAGTGTGTTTTCAGATACTATACCACTATATAAAGAAAATGACTATGAAAATACATCTTTTGTGATCAACTTGCAATAATGACACCTGAGAAAACTTGGGATATTTGTTTAATGCATTGTGTCTGTGAATTTATACTTTTTTAGTGTCTCTTTTGATCAGGAAACTTTAAGAATACAGTGAACTATGTCAATATGAAACTAGGATGTTCACACTGACAATTCTATTCTTGAAATATTTTTGTCAGCTTAGGATATCTTCTCGATATACATATGTTCTTCATTTCAGTTTCTTTTGCATGTTGGTAAAAATCAGTGGAATACTACTTTTTTTATATCATTATTGCTAATTCCAAAGAAAAATATCACTTACTTAGATTGCTGATTTTCTGTGACTGAATTTGCTTGTGCTAGTTTTGGCAACAAAGGCATGTAGAACTTAATAAATTGAATGGGGACCTGACATCTCTAAAGCAAAAGAAACACATTTAAAGTTTCTTTAAATAATGTCTTCCTTAAATAGATTATTCTTCTGAAACAGCTGGGAGCCAACTTTTTTTCTCCTGTCATTAGCAGATTTCTGGTCTAATTATAGAACCTTCCCATAAGTATTTGTTTATCTGCAGCTTTAAAATCTAACAGCCAAACAAGTAGTTTTCCATTGTTATGATCTGTCCCACCATCTATAATGAAATGATAATGTTTGAAAGTCTAAAATACCAGTATCAATGACAATTTCATGTCACAGATGGAGATAAATAAGAAGTGTCATTCCATGAGATAGTGTCTTCTCTGAAGATTTCACTGGGGTATATTCCAGAAGTACTTAATGGCAATGTTTTTTAATTTGGAATGAAAACTGTTTTTCCTAAGCAATTGTCCGTAGAAAGATTTGTTAAAGAAAGGATAGGTTTTTCTTGAAGTTTCAGTATCTCTTTGTTGCAAAAAGGAGTTTGTAGGTGTTAGGAACTGAGGAGTTAAGCCAGGTGGTGAAGGCTTCCAGTTTGATAGTGGAGGATTGCTGCTTCCCCAGGGCATGGGCTCTGTGGAAATGTTAGCTGTGAACAGAAGGATCTTTAGGTTGCCTTTTTTTATATATAACAGTTAGCAAGCTAGCTAAAGTAATAAAGGGAAGTGAACATCATTTCTGATAGTGAGCAATTAAAAAGTGGTACATTGTATTAGCAGTTTACATGAAAGTAGCTATTTCTCAGCTGCTCTTTTCATTTTGTTGCTGGCAGTATGGATATGTTATGTGGTGTGGAATGAAGGTAGGAGGGACAGGACCAGAACCTTTTTCTTCTCATCCTTCTGTACATTCATTCCAACTTCAGCTCTCTTGAAATTTAGTTTGTGTTATCATTGTGTTGGATGAGTTGCCATGGTAATTTGGAGTATGTTGGCAAATATTAATGGACTGACTCTTCAGCTTATGTCAAATCTGAGGTGTTTTATCATCCTTGAAGTCCATGAGGCTGTCTTATGCTCCTGCTGATATCAGGAAGTTGCTTCCTTAAATTTGAAACATATTTTTATATTTCTTCACAATTACACCTTTCAGCTTTTTGGGCTGAAAAAAATAACGATGCTTTGCTATTGCTCATTTGTGTTCAAAGTGAAGTTCAGAGTTAAAATTAAATCTAAGTCCAAAACCTGTCAACTGAAGTGTTGGGGGGATTTTTTATTTTTTTATTTTTTTATTTTTTACTCCTAGCCTGCAAGTCCTGGGCAGTCTCCTTCACCGCTTCTCAAGCACTGTGCTTCTGTTCTTGAAACTGTAGTAAAAACTGTGCCTGGTCTTCAACAAGCTGTGTTTTTAATTGCAAAAGTGAAATACTTGTCAGGTAATAGTTATATGAATCATTAGCTATCCACCTCTTTAGTTTCTTTAACATAAAAACGTAGTTTCACACTTTTAAATTATAATGACTATTTTTCTTTCACTGCAGAATGCTGCATTACAGCTAAGTGATTTGCACTGCCTTTTTTGTGATTTGTATGAGTGTATCTTAATTGTACAGACATATAAACATGGGAGTTTTTATCTATTGTTTCTAAAAAAGATCACTTATTGAATGACTTACAGATGGAACAATGGGAAAACACCTTACCGTTGACCTGGTTTTGATTTAATTTCATAGCCTCATGATACTTCATATATGAGTTTATTCACTAAATACTCACATTTATTTTAAAAAAACAAATTGTAAAATTGGTGAATAATTAATAAAACCTCTG